TGAGTTGACAGTTTGATACTTTGAAAATTTTGAGCCAGCCCTACCCCCAAGGGCTGTAGGGTGGGGCTCAAAGGAGTCAGTGTGCTAAAATTTCTTCATTTTCCTTGTTTAGAATCAGAGGTGCTAGTTTCAAATACTTTTTAGTCTTAAATCTGTATGCTAGATATTGAATAAGGTGGTTTTATTGTTTTTTGTCACTTTGAATAATATTTCTGTACATGTTAAAAACAAAATCAACTCTGTATAAATATATCAGGTGACCGTTAAGGCCCATGGGCCTCTTGTTTTTTATTTACATCAAAAGATCGAACTTCTCCTCTCGTCTGACCCACAAGGTGGCGCACACTCGTCTGACCCAAAAGGTGGTGCACACTCGTCTGACCCACAAGGTGGTGCACACTTAGCTTTCAATTTATTTCATAATATATTCCAGGGGTACATACAGAGAGCGAAAGTGAGTGAAACCCCTGGAGTATCGAGGATCAAGTTATACCAGAGTCACTATAATTAGTTGATCATCAAATTTGGCCCTTGTGTCTTTGAAGAAAACTTGTAACTTTTTCAATTCTGTTTCAGTCCCCGGGGATTTGGATGTTATGAGCAAAGCTTTGTTGTTGGGAGCGACCTTCCTGATTGACTTCAACTACTTTGAGCCGAAAAAGAACTAAAGCAGTGGAGTTAGCTCCCCTGTCAACTTACATGCGAGATAGAACTTGTTGAAATGATGAAATTTTGATAAAAAGAGGCCAATGCATTTCTGGCATGTCTGCTTTAGCCCTCACCTGAGACGAACAGCACCAACGTGGAGATGTTTTGTTGAGAAGATAACTAGTATGGAAGACTTACAGACACCACAAACAAACCTCTGTTTTATAACCGTTTTATTGTAAATGACATTTTAGAAGAAAACAAAAATATGGAAATTTTTAATACTATACACAAAGATTATTTTAGCTGTGAATTCCTTCTCTTTCACAGACTTTCTGATCAGCACTCGGACTTATTCAGAATCATCTGTTTTTATCTGTGTTTTATATACAAACAGATCGCTGAACCTACTGAACTCTACAGGCTTAATAGTTCTACACTATTCCTGTCACAGTAGAAAATATTTACATTGACCATCAACTTATACATGCAGTCATTTTTAAAGCAGAATGTTGACATTTTATACAGTTTTAGAATGTGTCATAACAACATCTTCAAATAAATGAAGAGTCACATTTGAATTTCAGGAAGATGTTTTTTTTATTATTATTTGATTTTGAAGTGACAAATATATCAAAAAATATAACTTTCATGGAATATATAAGCACTCTACAGTATAGTTTGTGACCTCTGAACTTTGCTAACTCATTCACCCCTGAAGTTTCATAATGAACTTTTCCAATCTTTGAATTTGAAGAGTTCAAATTAAATATGTCTTCAGGGGTGAATGAGTTAAAGACACAATTGACTTTACCATGGCCTACAAATTGTCACAATTGTAAATCGTTGCCTTGATTCACATAAAGCCAAATTGTCTGACACATTTCATCATATTTTAACCATTATTGTGTTGTATTGATTTGTACATGATGTTTGCCTTTTATCAATTAATTTCTTTTAAGATAGATATATTTATACAAGACTTTATCATGAGACATTGCATCTTTAAGATAAATGTGCCGCCATTTTTATAGTTTTCATCGCAGCAAGAAGTCATGACCATACGCAAGTTTAGCATTCAGTAGATATGATATTAACGTAGACTTATTCTTGTACATAAATTTTGATGTTAGATTCTATATTTTTGTTGAGGTGGACATGGTCATATGGACCTGAGAAACTGATATTGACCGAAGCCAATGGTTATATCCACATATTCACCGGGATAGAGGTTCTTCGTTGTTATATAAGATACTTTAATGTTTTAATTATTAGATGGAACATACGAAAATGCATCAATTGTACAGAGGAAAGTACTGCATTTGGCTGAGAGAATTGTGATGTTACAATTGAAATAACACCATAAAGTAAAGTGAATATTAACCTGCTGTTTCTAAAAATAGTAACACTGAGTTAATATCATAACTTCCTCATGGTAATGATCCAACCAATGGGAATATCAGAAAAATATGTGTCATCTGTTATAGGTTTTGTCATTGATGATCATAGGATTTTTGACATTTATAGTTTTAGCTCGTACACCCCTGAAATTTCATAAGGAACTATTCCAACCTTTGAATTGGAAGGGTTCATATGTGCCTGAAGGGGTTAATGAGTTAATATGTCAGCTAGCTGAAACAGGATTATCTCCCTTGCATTATTCTGTTGCTATAATATACCTCCATAGATTTTGATATATAAATATATAGATTTTATTTTTTATGAATAATTTAACTGAACTTTATTAACATAATTTTATAAAGTTTGACGCATTAATTTACCAAAAGTGCGAAACAAATACTTGATAATGTTTTTCAAGTGAAGGTAAACCTTTAGCGAAGGAATATGTTTGGGTATATCTCTGGAAAGGTATGGAATTATGATTGGGTATATCTCTGGAAAGGTATGGAATTATGATTGGGTATATCTCTGGAAAGGTATGGAATTATATTTTAGCTCAGTAGGTTAGAATTTTCAGAAGAAATCATTTTGTACTACATGTACATGTACACGTACTTGAAANATTTTAGCTCAGTAGGTTAGAATTTTCAGAAGAAATCATTTTGTACTACATGTACATGTACACGTACTTGAAACAGTATTCTACCATAATTTCTGGTTTTAGTTTCATGTCGGGTCAAGTAAGAGAAAAAATGAACTACTGTGAACATTTTTCTGCACATCTCTTCATTATATAATAATAATAATAATAATAATAATAATGTACAACATTTATATAGTGCCCTATATAATTTGCAAAATTACTCCAAAGCGCTTTACAACATATGGATAATAGTAATGGTTATAATTGTGAAAACAAAAAACAATGGCTTGCAATCACTTTTATACATTTAAGCAAGCATTGTGCACATATTTGAACAAATAAAAGGGTGGTATTTACATGACGTGTTTGCAAAGATTCTAAAATGCAGACGTGTAGAGGCGAGTTTTGATGTCCCTCTATATCCTATAGCTAGGATCAGTTAGATAATATTGGTTCACTTCTTAGTATTTAGTTAAGGAATCTGAAATAACACTGCAACTTGCTTCATTGGTGAAGCAAACCTGGTAATTTGTACTGAAGTATTCAGTAAATTTCAATAGTTAGTTTCAGTATTGGCTTACCTCCCCTTTCATTTCCATTCCCTGATTACCTGCCCATGCTATTTTTTATATACATACCTATTTCATTATTCCCTCTCTATGCAATGGTATGTAACCAAGAGATGTATAAGCTTCTAAAATTATTACACTTAATTATATAATTTTTATGTTTTCTACACAAACTGTTGCACTTGAGATAATCGACTGTAATTCTTATAAGTGCAAACTGTCTTTCATTTTGTTATTTTTTTTCATGCTGGCTTAGCTTGCTGCTCCTCACAGTTTGATTAGAAATCATTTTACAAGGAGTTTTTATATTTTGTTACAACTTTGAGATATGTGAACACTTTTTCAATTTGTTAGGGTTAAATGTTTCTTGGATTTTTTACACAAAAACAAATCTTTTAATCATCATGACCAAAGTATACGTTCAATTTCTTTTTCTGATTTTTTTTGCCAGGGATAATTTAGTTTTGGCTAAAATGTGTTGATCAGTTTTCTGTTTGTTAATACAAACTGACAGGAAATTTGATACAGAGAAGTTTTCAACTTTTGTCTGGTTCTGAACTGAATTTAATTTTCAATAAATTTAAGTGAATATGTGTCATTTCTAGCTTTACTGTTTATTGGTTTTGCACATCAAAATAATTCCCTTTCATATTTTAACTACGATATAATAATTATTAATATATGATTGAGAAACAAAGATTTACAAACACTAATCCTTAGAACTGTACTTTCTGTTGTAATTCCAGGAAATATTGAGTGTTTGAAAAAGGGATACTTTCTGAAATTCAAGTGTAATTATTCTTTTATAATTGTTTTATTTCAGATGTTTTAAAAGGTGTTTGTTGATATTAAATCTGTATAGGCATACGTGCATATTAGTTTCGTTTTAAAACCGTTATATATGAAACTTGAAAAATGAATTTCCCTGTTAGACACAATTGACCTCTCAAGTTAACCTTTTCTAATTAGAATATTCATGCTGGCCAGGTCTTCTCGGCTTATAAACACTAATTAACACATGTGATAGGTTACAAAAACAAAGACCATGCTATCTCTTGTTTACCATCCATTTGATATGATATTCGTTGCTGGTCTGCGCATGTTCAACAGTCGAAGGAAAAAACCCACTTTGACTTGAGGTCGTGAAACTTGGTCAGGAAATATGAAGCCTGTAGCTGTAGTCATTTGAGTCCCAAAGGAACTACGTGATTCCACATGGCAAGTTTGCCGCACCGACCTAACTCTGTATCAGATAACAGCCTGTAAAAGTATACCTATAACAGAGACAGAGCTATACTCTGTATCAGATTACAGCCTGTAAAGGTATACCTATAACAGACACTGAGCTATACTCTGTATCAGATTACAGCCTGTAAAAGTATACCTATAACAGAGACCGAGCTATACTCTATCAGATTACAGCCTTTAAAGGTATACCTATAACAGAGACCGAGCTATACTCTGTATCAGATTACAGCCTGTAAAAGTATACCTATGACCGAGCTATACTATGTATCAGATTACAGCCTGTAAAAGTATACCTATAACAGAGACCGAGCTATACTCTATCAGATTACAGCCTTTAAAGGTATACCTATAACAGAGACCGAGCTATACTCTGTATCAGATTACAGCCAGTAAAAGTATACCTATAACAGAGAACGAGCTATACTCTGTATCAGATTACAGCCTGTAAAGGTATACCTATAACAGAGACCGAGCTATACTCTATATCAGATTACAGCCTGTAAAAGTATACCTATAACAGAGACCGAGCTATACTATGTATCAGATTACAGCCTGTAAAGGTATACCTATAACAGAGACCGAGCTATACTCTGTATCAGATTACAGCCTGTAAAAGTATACCTATAACAGACCGAGCTATACTCTGTATCAGATTACAGCCTGAAAAGGTATACCTATAACAGAGACCGAGCTATACTCTGTTTCAGATTACAGCCTGTGAAAGTATACCTATAACAGACCGAGCTATACTCTGTATCAGATTACAGCCTGTAAAAGTATAATAACTAAAGGTCAACACGACAGGTCATTGTGGTTGGACTTCAGCATTCCTGTAAAGATATTATTGTAAACAATTCTCATTTTGTATTGAAAGTATACTTATTTTAGTGGTAGTTTTATTTTTATTTTTTTTGCGCGCGTTTGAAAATTCTTTTATATTGCTTTCCGTTTCCTTTTTTGAGGATTTAACAATTCATTAATGCGCTGATCTGTTAGAATGTGATATTGCACAAATTTTGATATTGCACTGAAATTATAGTGCGCTTAAATAAGTATGTTAACAATATGTTTTTTTGCAATCTGTTACACTTGCCAGTATTCAAGTAGTAACACTTCAAGAATTCTACACTCCAAAAAAATACAACTTAGTCTAATGGAAGTGGATTTTTATCCGATTTCTGGAATATTCTTATTGATTTCTCTTACAGTTATAAACCAGAACTGTAAGCTAAAGGCTTACTAAGGCAAAGCATTGCATTCTTAGGCCAAGGGCACTCAATTTGGTACAAACGGTGGGTGTGCCCTCCTCCTCCTTGGGGCAGAGGAGAGGGGCCTTATAGGATAAATAAACAATAAACTTTTAAAATCGTTCTTCTACCATAGGAAATAAGGGATTTCATCCCAATTTGGTTTGGTTTGGAGGATCCTGGGGCCAAGGGCACTCAATTTTGTATAAATGGTGGTCGTGGTCCCCTAGGACAGATGGGTGGGGCCCAATAGGGGAAATAGAGGTAAACCTTTGAAATCCTTCTCCTACAATAGGGATTCAAGATTTTATCCCAATGTTGTCTCCATCAACTTGTCTAGTAACTTCGTTGTAGGGGTATAAAAAAAATGAAAGACTAAAGTCTTCATTTTAGATTCCTCACAATGTGTAAATGCAGGATAAAAATTGTAAATATGCGAAAAAAATATGCAATGTTCAGTCTGGGCTTATGGCTGGTAATAAGCCCACCCCTACATTTGACACGTTTCCATGCACAGGTCCCTTGGCTTATCACCAGTAAAACACCTTACCAGAAACCAAATGTAGGAAACCTGTTTGAGCAGTCACTTTCATACTTTTGTCTCCAATTGATTATTTCTTGATTAATCTTCAAAATTTGGCCGAAAAACAAAATATTGACGGAAGTATATTTACCTTGTCCAAAGGAATATTTTTGGAGTATTTGAGCTCTTGCTCTTGATCTGCTTATAAAAATGTGTTAACCGTTTCACCCTATGTAACTTTAGTAGACTCTACTATTCATTGATTTGGATGAGTCCATTAGGGTCAACAGTGGTGAAAGGGTTAAAGTGTTTATGTTGTTAAATTTTTGCGATAAAGTTTGATGGTTCTGTGTTCAGGTAATCATTTCAGGGTTTCTCCTCCGACTGATAAATGTACTTACTTCACAATTTCCTCAGGACTTGTCACTTGATACAGCCCATCACCTGGTTGCTTTGTTGCTGTACATATAGTTTTTTAGAATATGTGTTGTTAAAATTGGTTCAGCTTTTTAGATTAATAAACAGTTCACTCATGTTATTTATCAGTTTTGTTTGTTTATGTTTTAAGTTCTATTAGGCCAGACAGAAAAATATATGTGTTTCCTGTAACATGTTGGAAAAATTGAGGGAAAGTAGGTACAAATGTAGGTAAACAAATTATTCTAACAAATAGGTTTATATAGGAGAGTGACCTGGACTTTAACAATGCTTCTTTGAAAATTGACATGAAAAGTTTAGGGTAGGCACAAAAAAATAGGGAAGTTAGGGTTACCGGAAACACAAACTATTTTTTGTTTAGCCTTAACAGCAAAGGTCATGTCAGGATGACCAGAGTACCCGGATATAAACCACCGACCTCCAGCCAGTACCTGACAGGTAGGCCTCGAAACCCGCGACCCAGTTCAAATGTATTCCATGATGACGGTATAGAGCTATTTCAGATTGTGTTTGAACGGGACTGGTGCATACCATCATAAATGTTAGAAAAGAAGCATTTTAATTCTTAGCTTTTTGTTTAAAATAACAAAAACAATATTATTAATTTAGTGTTCCCTGGTCTCATTCAGCTCTACATATATTTTAAACAAACTGTTTTACCAAATGTCGGAACAGCCGGAAATAAGATAGTACTTGCATTAGGCGGGGACAAAATCTGTACCCAGAGCTATGTTAGTGAGGGTA